ATCTACATATTTTTACAATTAATTCAAAATTGAGTGATCATTTTTCTTTCAAATTTGACTATCTCTTATGCTTTGCATAGGAGAAAGGTTAAAATTAGAGTTTTTTATTTTTTGGTATACTTCCTGCTTCTTTTTTACCATAAATCTGCAACGACAGGTCGCTAAACTTCGAGGTGAATGGTCAATTGTAGCTCATAAATTAAGCTTTCTTTTACCATGTAAGTCCCATGCTGGTTGCTTAAATAACCATTGATCATTTTTTACTTTAAAATTTTGTATTCAGAATTGATTTTACCCAATAGCAGCTACGACTCTCGAGTTTTCTACGGTTAGTGCGTTCATGCATAAGATGTAGGTCAAATTTATATGAATGATCTTTTGTCGTAAATAGAGGAAAAGTTTTCATTTTGATGTGACTAATGATTTGACCAATTGCATTAGATAGACTCAGATCGAACTACCAAACATGGGGTGTTCACACAGGTTGAGCTTAAAAGTCACAGTGGTTATCTCTAAAAAAATGACTGGGTTCATGTTCTATTGAACATAGTATCTCTAGTTCCTATTGCATTGCATGCATAGGAACTAATAAAAGATACTATTTAAAAAAATCATTAAATGCGTTTTTCTCAAAATTTTAAATGCGTTTCTTTCAAAATGCACTTTTCCACGTTCGCCACTTCGTTAAGAGACGAATTTAGGGGTTTCCAAGGCTTATTTAATCGATTTTAGAGTCTACTAATATGTAAAAAATACTTATAATTTTTTTTCTCCCAGACGAATTGTGTTTTTTCTCCCGACGGGGAGGGGGGGGGGGGCAGCTCTCCCCGAAAAGGAGGCCTGGACCGGGATTTATCAATCTCAGCTTAGCAAATGTCTTAAGTCAAAAAAGTTAAGATGTCCCTAATAAATATTTTAAGCTGATTTATTACCCAATCTTAGCAAAATCTTGGCTTAAAAATCGTCTTAGATGGTGCCAACGTACAATCGACTTTCTAATTTTAAGCAAATTTTAAGTTTAGCAATATGGATAAATTTGACTTAAGCAAAAAAATGGTCTTATGACGAATTTAAGCGGAATTATAGTTTGATAAATGTGGTCACTTGCCCCCGCCCTTTGCTGGCGCCATCCCTGTAAACATCCCCTCACAATTATCCCCATCACATGTGTTGCTTTTGTGGGTGTAGAGTCCTCGTCCAACAAATGTGTAGACTCGTGTTATTGTAAAATTATTTTTTAACGATATTTTAATGGCCATAAATAGGAACTCAATACAACAATGGTAAGACATTTAAAAAATAGTTACACGATATATTTCTTCCACATATGTGCATGCACGCGTCTCTGGACGGCAAATCGTCAATATTTTGTCTTTACTCAAATTAGTAATGATGATTATAAATAATAATTATTATTATCACCATTATCATCATCAATAATGTGATGTTGTTAAATGTTATTTTCATGCGAATGACGATGGATTTATTTACACCATAATTATGTTTTGGTTAGGGTCCTTTTCCAACAAGGTCATTTGTCAAAGTATGCCTTTTTTTGGCCCTGCCACTTGCCTGTACCCCTCATTAGTTTAGTATGTAAGTTACAATGAATAAATAATTTAAACCTGAATCTGAACAACAAAGTAAATAAATAAAAAGGTTAAACATTTCCAACACAAATGAAATATCGAGCGGTACTGTGTAATGACAATTTGATTTCTTGCTGCAAACACGGTATACATTCGTAGAAATCTTATGAATATATATATACATATATATGTCTGTCTCTTATACACATCTAGATGTGTATAAGAGACAGACAGTGATTGATTTTACTTTTGGACTGTC